ATCTTCCTGTTTACTGCACCCAGTCCAAAACCCTGCAGTAGGCGAAGTAGGTCTGTTGGATGTTTGCCGTATGTGTCTGGATCTATTTCATCTTCTCCAAATATATTTTGTCTTCTGCGAGTTAGTGCATCGCATTCTGACATAATATGTTGGGCTGTTCCGGTCTCCGTTCCGCATATTCTGCAGCTCGTGTCTCCGTTGTACAAGCCCATTGTTTGCAGGGGCTTCTTTACTGGGGCATGCCCAGTGAGAAAGCCGTTTGCTACTCTGAGTTGATTCCTGCTCAGTTGTAGCAGTCTTTTTGCTCTTTTGCTGCATGTCTCACGTATGAAAATTTTCCCATGTGCATGCTTGGGTATTTGCTTCCAGTGTTGAGCATGTTTTGCTTTGGTCCATTCCTACAGCTCCTTTCTTACTGTGCTTTTGGGCACTCCGAGAGCTGGTTCGGGATCAAGGTATTCTGTCGATGACCCCCTGCGTGCAAGTTCGTCAGCCTTTTCGTTGCCCGGGATACTCGATTACGCCTTACTACATTGTTATATTTATTCTAAGAACGTGGAGTCCTGTGCTCACTAACGACTTTACCTGGCTTCCATTGCTTCTGAACATGATTATAAATAGTGACATTTCAAACTGAAAAGACAGAGGCACAACAATTTTTTCAGAAAATAATAACAACCCATCTGCGAAAGTTAAATTATCCTTGATTTTAAAATATAATGTTGAATAAAATCTGACACTCGCTGTTTATTTTCTGGCCACCCATTTAAGCAGTAATCAATTGATATTTTTAATTGTAGGTCATTTTTAGGGTTTCCACTCTAAATCGTTGTTTTCGCTCATCTGACATTGACCTATTTTTTATTACTGAATGAATTGCAAAGTTAAGTTCCATATCACTTTTCAAACCTGATTGCGATAAAAACGCTCTGGATAATGTATCACCGATATACAGGTACTTACCAGGCTGGTAAGTAACACGTAAATCATAATTCAAGAGCCTTAATGGCATTCTTTGCTAGCGAGGTTTTATTGAAGCTAAATCTTTTTTCATTATAGACTCCACAGAAGTGAAATTTTTGAACTGCAAATACAATGGCCAACATCTTTTTCTCAATTTGAGCATATTTCTGTTCTGTTGGTGTTAAGCTGCTCGAAGCAAATGCAATTGGATGCCCTTTTTGTAATAAAGGCGCACCCAAACCGTCTTTTGAAACATCGGTTTCAATTTCCACATCTTTTGAAAAATCAAAAAATTTTAGCACAGGGGCAGTTGTTAAGAAATGCTTAAGTTGAGAAAGTGATTGCTCTTGCTCGGTAGACCAGTGGAATGTGGCATCTTGCTTTGTTAACTCCCGGAGAGGCATAGTAACTTTGGACAAGTTAGGTAAAAATTTACCCAAAACCTTGGCCATTCCTAAAATTCCTTAAACTCCATTTTTGTCAGTCGGAGTTGGCAAATCTATTATAGCTTTCAAATAGTTTTAGTTGGATTCAACACTATTTTTAGAATAAATTTGGCCCATGAATTTGACAGATTCGGATTTAAATTGAATTTTTGAACTATTGAATTTGATGTTGTATTTCAAAGCACGTTCTAGAACTAACTGAAGGTTTCTGTTATGGTCAAGCTCATTACTGCCAGTTATAATTAAATCATCGAAGTAAAGGCCCACTCCTCCAAGTTCACCAAATATTTCAAAGTTCTTCCTTTGGAAGACTTCAGGCGTAGAACATATGCCAAAAGGCAACCTAAGAAATCTATACCGTCCAAAACGCGTACAAAATGTATAATCCGCGCTCTGCTTATCAATTTTTACCTGGAAATAACCATCTTTCATGTCACGAACTGTAAATTATTTTTTGTCACACAATTTGACAGCAATTTCTTCAGCTGTAGGTATCAAAAAATGTTCACGTTGTATCGCATTATTTAAATATTTAGGGTCTAATCAAAGTCGCAAGTCAAGATTTTTTTTTCTCTACAATTACTAGCGGGTTCAGCCACTCAGTAGGACTTTCAATTTTTTCAATTACACCTTGTGTTTCGAGTTGCTCTAACTTGCATTTTAATCTATCATGGAGTGTTTTAGGGGCCGTTCTGGGAGGCTAAACATGCGGGATTGCGTCATTTTTCAAAGTGGTGGCTTGTGGGAAACTCCCCCAGGTCATCAAAACAAGACTTATAGGCTTTAATGACACTTTCCAAAGATTTAAAAGATGCATTTGCTCCCTTACTAATCGAGGCTAAACGTTTTAATGAACTTAGAGATAAACAGTAACCCAAGTAAGGGCAGTTGGTCCTCAGCATCAACAACAATGAAATCAACGACTCAATGCCATTGACTTTGCACAACAAACTGACCTCTCCAAGGGGTTTGCGGTTTGATCTTGAAGCTTTCGCTACCGTATGGAACTAAAGTAACTTTTGTGGACTTCAATTCAAGTCATTAACAAAATTTAACTTTTCCTAAATATGCAGTGGTGAAACACTCACCTCTGCTCCAGTATCAAGTTTAAAATCTACTTGCCCTCGACATATGTTAACTTTTTGTTTCCAGACTTTTTTCTGTGAATTAGATTTTTGCACTTTCTTCTTCAATGAATTAATCATTTTAACAGAATTCACGTAATAAAATTGACCATCACTTTTTTCTGACTCATCACTGCTTTCACTAGCTTCATTCTTCCCTACATCATGAACTTTTTTCTTCAAAGTTTTTCCAGATTTTCGATTTTCTTTTACTTCCATGAGCGACTTCTCTCCATTTGTACACACAGCTGCAAATTATTGACGAAAGAAGCACATCTATCTTTCAAATGATCATGTCCTACCTTTAAAACGCAACATGCGTTAAGGTTTCTCTAGGAAATTTAAGAGTAGATAATGAAGAGGCCTGAAATCGAGTAAGTGCGAGGATAAGTGTTTCCGAAATGTATGCAACAATGTTTGACGTTTACAGAGAGGAAGTTTTTCGTTTCGAAAGAGTGCAAATGCAAGAATAATACGATAATACACACTACTACTACACAGGATTGCTTATCGGCCTCATTTGTGGAAATTGCGGCCATATGGTGTAACCCTACTGACGACATCATCAACTACGTCGTCAGCTGTTTGCGCAAGCAGGCGTAGTTTAGAATAAAGGTCAATTCTCACTTGCGCTTCACTCAGCTCGGCGACGCGACACGACGCCGCGATGCAAATTGTCGTTAGATAAATATTTCATTGGTTTAAATGCGACGCGTGGTAAAGTGTAGTGCAGTGTAGGTGGGAACCTATTCTATTAAACCAATGAAATATGTATCTAGCGACAATATGCATCGCGGCGTCGTGTCGCGTCGCCCAGCTGAGTGAAGCGCAAGTGAGAATTGACCTTATACATTTATGATGAAAAATGTTATCATGGGATCATAACCTGTGGTGAAAACACCCTACGTCAAGGCGAGAAACGACTCGCTGCGTACGCAATCACTGGTTCTTTGGCGTGGTGGGGGGCTTGAGATTTGATATACACAGGCCTTATGATGATAAGATATCCTGTAATAGTAGTAGTAGGTATGGCGAAAACTATTGGTGAAATTAGTGCAAAAAACATGTATTTCTGTCACTTTCTTTTACATCATGTAGTAGAAGAGGATACGAATGCACTCAGTGCGCACTGAACTTACCAATTGATTTCACTATTAGTGTGTATTAGCCTTGGTGCGAATGGTCCAAGGCGGCGCGAGAATCAGCGCCATTTTGTTTACTTGCCAGAGATGTTATTTATTGAAAAATTTGCCTTCGGCGCCATTGCCACCAGATTGTTTACCTATAATTTAAGGGAGGGGGGGGGGGGCAAGTAGTGTATGCCCTATGTCAAATTTGTCATGCCCTATCACAAATTTGACTCTAGCTACGGCCCTGGAAAAGACTGGGGATTTCAAAAAAAATATATTTCCAGAGAAATCAGTGGCGTACCATTAATGTCTATCAAAATAAGCAGGTTAAATCTGTACGAACCCGATCGCCACTAGTGGAAATTTGAAAAAATGTAGTAGGTACATTAAAAAATTGCCTCTTGATACATAGTAGGTACCTACATGGACATATGCCAAACTTCATTAAAATAAGTGGTGTTGCAGATAATAACAATAAATTATTTATTTCTGAAAACTTTATCACCCTGTATCTCAAAAGTTGAGACGTTTAGGATATTCGGTCATATAAAGTTTTCTCCTCAAAATAAACCCAAAAATAGCCCCCTCAAATATTGACATTCAATTAAAAAACGCCCTGTATACAGGGTGTTAATGAATAGTGGAATCAAACTTATAGGATAAATAGCATTTAAATAAGGAGAAAATTATTGGAAACATGGGTCCGCGAATCCTTACTTTTTGAGATACAGGGTGTCAAAGTTTGAAAAAAAAAGTCGGTTAAATAGCTCAAAAATCCCTTTCCCAATTTTTTTTTCAAATTTGGCAGGTTTGTTTGTGATAGGACAAAAGGTATCTTTTAACTGTAATATGACTTGCCTGAAAAAAATATCAAAGTTTAAAAAAAAAAAGTGGCGTGCCATTTTTTGTCTACTTTCACCAACGTTGTTGCTCTCTGGGGCGCCACTGGAATAATTACGGTAAATCTAATTCAGTAAAAAGATACCTTTTGTCATACAAATAACAAATATGCTAAGTTTAAAGAAATTCGGGAAACGGATTTCGAAAAACCGATTTTTTTCTAGCTTTCACACCCTCTATCTCGAAAACTAAGCATTTGCGGACCTTTGTTTCTGTTAACTTTTTTCTTATTTTAATGAGTACCTAATATTTATCCTAGAAGTTTGATCCCACTATTCATTAACACCCTGTATAAACTTAGACGCAATAAAAATTTACATAAAAAATCCATTTATAACTCGACATTCTCTAGTAATTAATATTTATTCTGTTTATTATGATAAACAATCTACCCAATGTTTGAATTTTGTTATTAAAATAGTTTTCTTTTGTTGCAGATATTTGAAGATCATTACTTTTTTTCACATAGTGGAGTAGCAAGGCGTTCTCTAGAGCCTAATCCAGAGAAGCGAGTCAAATTAGCAGCGGATTCCAGGGTGTCTTGGGCGGCTCAACAAAAAGCCAAAAATCGAGTTAAACGAGACCAACATCTTGTAGATATCGATCCAAAATGGGGAAATATGTGGTACCTGGTAAGAACAAAACTATCATACCTAACGCCCATAATTTGTTGATGTGAATTTCGGATATAAATATTTTCCTTTTTTATTAACTCTGATAACGTGTAAGGGTCAGCCAATTGAAATTTATTTCAGTTTTTGTTTTTGTTTTTGTTAAAAACAAGCCTATGAACTTTGCCTATGTTTCTGGATGTTTTGGTATTTATGAACAATAAAATGCAATGTATGTATGCCTATGGCAGCCCATAAACATGAATAGAAGCATTTGCTACGATATTTTATTCATTTAATACAAGAATGAAACAGCTGAAGTAGCGACTATGACGTTGTTAGTTGAGAACATTTTGCAAGACTTAGTAAAAAAATTAAGGTCGACTTGATTTTACAACGGTCTGGAAAAATATATTTGCAAAGGAGTCATTTTAAGAGGAATTATTTTGAAAAATTGTGGTAAATTACTTTGAAGGGTTAGCTAATGTTGCGCAAAAACAGATTTTATATTGGAATGTCCTACACAGATTTAAAGATTTTTTTATTTTGTTTGGTCAACTGTTCCAGTTACCCTAATTTTGAGGCAACTGAAACAGTGACCTCTATTTTCCTATGCATTCAAATGGTGCTAATTCTGAGGTAACTGGAATGTAGTGTAACGTATATGTAAAGATCCTATCAAATTTTTTTTTTGCTCAAGAATTATGGGAAATATGGGAGATGCAGCAAAAGTAGTACTAAGTGGTAAAAAAATAACTTTTATTAAAAACTAGCTGTACCCGGCATGCGTTGCAATGCCATGCAAAAAAAAATATATTTCATTTAAGTTTCTTAGTTTCAGTGTATCAGAGTTTTGCGCATTTGACTTACGACTCACGCACTCGTAATCGAAATAATTAACCGTTGGTAAAAAACGATAAAACGAAGAGCTTCCGTCAAACCAGAGTCGCTTACCAGTGAATTCAGTGACGCATTTTAAGCACTCCAGAGCTGCTCTAGAGCGCCCCGGGCTGTTTATAGGCGTTCCAGTGTATCAGAGTTTCGCGCAACTAAACTTTTTTTTTTGAAATAAAAAATAACCTATATCACTCCCCTCTATAGCCGAATTCCATTGACCGGATTAAATCGATTGGGTTCAATTCAAGTGAACCACACTGTGTTCGATTGAGGTTGGATCAGTGCACCCTCATCAACAAAAAAATGATCTAGATCAGAAGAAGTTCACTTAAATTGAACATATTTTCAATATGATTTTATTTTGATTATTACTGATAAATAAAGCAATTTCAAGATGGTTAGTGAAAAAAAAAATATGGATCCTTGAATTTTTACCAAGTTATGATTTTTTTAATTTAATTTTTTTCCTTGTTGATCGCGTATTTTTGATAGGTATAGCGATATTAAGCTGATAAGAATAGATATTATTTATTGATCTGTGTCAAAGGTTGAGAAGCCAGAGGATATAAGGCATTAGAGACTAGTGATTTTTTGCAATTATTATTATTTTGTTTAATTTTAATAGATTTCTTTTTTATGGCAAAATCAGCATACTACCTTGGTGAATATTTAAAATATTTAATGTTTATGGAGAGGGCTTTTTTGAGGTTTTTTACTGATTTTTGAGTGATAATGTTAGGCTGGTTTGATATTATTAAAAGTTGGTGTTTTATTGTGTGTGTTAAATTTCAGATTTTCATAACAAACGAGACCAAAACGTCAGACAAGTTCAATTTTGTTTTGTGGTGAAGAAGTTATAAATTTGTGTTTTTTCTGGCACTTCATAATTGATATTCATACTGTAGAAGACATGTATTTTATTTTCCTATTAGGCAATCCAAACCACGTGACATTCAAGATGTCATGGCGGCCATACATGAACCAAAAAACATAAAAAAATATCTAGTTTCTGTCCGACTTGATAGTTTACGTACCTAGTAAACAAATATTTTATTGAATAATCAAAATCAAAGCTGCAAGCAAAACTCGAAGCAAAATAATTAAGATATGCATACATATTCAAAACAAAGTTGCTGGCCGCTACGCCATATTGAATTTCTCGTTTGGACAGATTAATTGGATTGCTTGGTAGTAGGTATGTAGGAATGTATATTTAAATAATATTTTATTTATCGATAAAATGAACATCCATATTTTGTTTTCTTCATTATTTCCTAATCATTGCTCCAATGCAAATTTGAACATAGAAAAATTGTCCGTTTTTAGGGACCTAATGTGTTCTAGACCTCAAGATTGGTTCAGCCGTTCTCGAATTCAAAAAATAAGAAAGTTACGTCGGTTGAATGCGCAAGCCTAAATAAAAGAAATGTAGCAACGTTGTTTCATGTTGTCAAAAAAAAGTTGGGTTATGTTGTTATGTAATTAGGGAATCCAAACCACGTGACTTTTGCCAACCAGCCGGCATTTTGAAATTTTTATGAGGTTAGAATACGGGTTGTTACATGTCAACGATGTCAGTATTGATAAAGCCTAGTACTCATAACAGCGAAACTCGCTGTTTTTTGACATTGCTTCGACAATTTGACGTTTTATGTGTGAATCAAACGTCAAAAAAGAGCGAATTTCGCGGTTATGAGTACTAGGCTTAATCCCGTCAAAATAAAAACATATGTTTTTTTGTTTATTATTTGCCAACCAAACGCCATTTGGACAGGTCGTTGGATTGCCTAATTAGGCAATCCAAACCACGTGACATTCAAGATGGCGTGGCGGCCACACATGGGCCACCCACACACAAAAAAATATCTAGTTTCTGTCCGATTTAATAGTTCAGGTACATAGTCAACAAATATTTTATTAAATAATCAAAATCAAAGTTGCAAGCAAAACTCTAAACAAAATAATTTAAAATACGCATAAAAACATATTCAAAATAAACTTGCTTGGCCGCCAGGCCATATTGAATTTTCCTATTTGACAGATGGATTGGATTGCCTTATGTGGATGAGTTTGTTTATAATTAAATTATTAATTAATTTTTTTTTCCGAGACGCGTAACCTATCCACAAACCTTCCTTGGGATGGCCATAACAACCTACCAAAGTTTCATCGTAATCGGATAAGTAGTGTAGGAGCGTATAAGGCACAAACAAACAAACAAACATTGATTTTTATATATATAGATGACAAAATGAACAAAAAACAAAATAAAAAACCAATTTTCTTTGTTTCTGTAACAGAAAATAATAACGAATAATAAAAATAAAACTTAAAGTCCAATTCTCTAGGTAAGCATAACCATTAAGTGCTAGAATACTCTCTTTTCTATGGGTGCTGGAAGTTTTCTTTGGAATTCGTTCCGCTTCAAATTGACTATGTACTATGTCACGGACATTTGGAAAAATATAAAAGTTCATCTTCTTCCGTAGACAAGACACACATAATTCTTCATTGGTTTTGGAAATTATTTTACATACAAATTGTTTTTGTGTTTTTTTTTTGTTCCTTTATTAGAAATAAAATTGCAAAGAAGAAAATCAGAGATTTCTACATCCATGTGATTGTAGTCTATTTCGTCTTCCATTACATTTTCTGTTTGTATCTCTTGCGATCTATTTTTTTCACGTAACCCTGGTGCTTCTTCGATTTCCTCCAATTCTAATGGAGCACTGTTTTCATCTAAACGTTCTTCATCTTCTAAAGATGGAAACTCATCGTCAATCAGAAGGTCCTGGAATTGGTTAAATTTGATGGGAACGCCCTGGAATTGGTTCGATGTTATCGGAAGGCCCTGTTATTGGTTCAATTTGATGGGATGATCCTAGCTTGGGTTCAGAGTAATTAATAGTCTGACCAGGAGTAGAGTTTGGAATACCTTCATTGTTATCAGTGTCCTCTCTACGATTACTTGAAGTTAAAAAAATGGGCGTAGGACTTGCTCTTGCTTTACCAATACCAAGATCATTTACGTTATCTTTATCCTTTTTTTTTTTTTTTTACGGATATGCGCACTCGCAAGGAAATGTCCTATCACGCTCGAGAAGCGGCAAGTGCGTGGAAATGTCGGTGTATGTTGGTCTTGAAACGGTTCAGGTTGTAACCTGCAGGGAAAACCGTCGCAGGGAGTTTATTCCACAGCGATGCTGTTCTCCAGAGATATGAATTCTGATATAATGAGGTTCTTGGTGCCTCTAGTTTGACAGTAAATTCATGGTTACCGTCTGTTTGACGGGTTCGCCTGGTAGGTGCTACTCTCGGTGGAATCATACGTGCCAACTCTTCAGAGCATTTTCCGTGATAGTACCTGTAGAAGAGAGATAAATCGCCCACATATCTGCGATGTTCGAGACCATCCAAGTTACGAGTAAGTGCGGGGTCATTGATCAGCTTGATAGCTCGTTTTTGCACGGTATTCAAAAGCATTAAGGTATGTTTGGGTGCTGCACTCCATATATGTGAGCAGTACTCCATAGTTGGTCGAATCTGTGCTTTGTAGAGTGTCAGCAATGTAGAGTGTCAACAATTGGCTTGGTGTGTACAGATGTCTTGTACGAAATAGCACCCCCAGCTTTTGGGAGGCCCTTTTAGCAATATCTGCCACGTGACTGTGCCAAGACATGTTGGTCTCTGCAGTAACCCCCAAGATGTTCAACTGACTCTGTAATGTGACAGCACTTGCAGATAGCATGATGTTTGGCTCACCGGTGCTGGTCTTTTTTGAAAACAGAGCTGCTTGGGTTTTCTGCGCGTTGAACTGTACAAGGTTTTTGTTACCCCAGTCCTCTATTATCTCCAAGTCGTTATTTATCTGCGATATTTGAGTTAGTCTAAGATGGTGGAATTCACGTGCGGAAAGACCTGTGGGTGGTATGAGTGAGGAGACTACATTGCCATCGTCTGCAAAGCAATAAAGTGGATTTACTGTTTTATCTATGAGGTCATTTATGTAAATCAGGAAAAGAGTTGGCGAAAGGATTGCTCCCTGTGGCACACCAGCATTTATTTGGTAAGAGTTGGAGTTCTGGCCATCCAGTGCAACATAAATGGATCTGTCCTTTAGGTAACTTTCAAACCAAGTGCAAAGTTTCGGCGATAATCCCATTGCTTTGAGCTTGTTGAGCAGATTTTCATGCCAAACTTTGTCGAATGCTTTAGATATATCTAAGGCAATTGTTCTTGTTTCACCCCGCAACTCAATCGCTTTTTGCCATAAGTGAGTGACGTATGTAAGTAAATCTCCAGTTGACCTATATTTTCGAAATCCGTATTGCTTATCGTTGATAATTTTGTACTTTTCCAAGTACTTGGTTAGGTGATTGTTCACAACTCTTTCCATTACTTTGGGGCAGACTCCCTGTTCTGATATTTTACCCAATCAGAATGTAAAAAAATCTCAGCCGAAATTTATTTCCGATCTGGGCCCCCCAATTCATTGTTATATATGCCAGTAGCTTTAAAAGCGTTTATTATATTTTCATCAGGCATTTTTGCAAACTCTTCTCCAAGAATTCTAAGAAACTCTGGTTTCGGATTTTTTTTTGGGGTTCTGCCTTTGCCACTTGCAGAGGGTTTTGTCCCATTGCGCCTCCATTCCTCTAAATACCCCCACATCTAAAGGTTGCAAGATGTGAGTTGAGTGAGGGGGGGGGGGTAATTTTAAAATAACTATATCATTATCCATAGCTTCTTTAATTAACTCGCAGGATATATGTGAAACATGTCCATCTACAACTAGGAAGACTAGTCTTTCTGGTGGAATGTTGGGAAGAAAGCACTTTCTCATCCCGAAAATATCTTAGCTGTCATCCAACCTCGGTCGGAGGCAGCAATAGCAGTTTTGCCTGAAGGATCCGCTTTTTCTGGAATCATAGATTCAATTATGTTTTTGCCTTGGATATCGTAGGAAGTGGTAATTTTTGGCCCGAAGCTGAGCAGCACACTAGAACCGTCGTATTTTCCCTCCCACACGATGAAATAGATCCAGTACATTTGGCACCAATTTTACCAAGAATTTTTGTTTTAGAAGAATCGTCGGAAAAAGACGTTTCGTCGCAGTTGAAAATGCGTGCAGGTTTATTCAGAAAATCAAGATCCTTAGAAGTTTTTTCTAATACATAAAAAAAAACAAAAATTGTCCAGGGATTCTCTTGTTTTCGTCTAGCAGCTTCTACTCCTTGAGGTTTCTTCAGTGACAAATTTCTTCTTTTACAAAATTCAGAAACCATTGCTCTCCTAGCCGGCCTTCTTTAAATGTTCGGCAGCCTATTTTTTTTTTCCACGTAAGCTTGCACTAAATCAAGCACTTCCTCTTTCGATAATCCATATCCCCATTTCTGCATGGTGTTCTTCTACTTCATTGGACAGTGCATATATTCCTCCACCACCTTTTCCTGCTACCGACAATATTCGTTTCCCTCTTGTTCCAAATACAAAGTGTCTTATTGTGGATCTTGAGATGTCATAGAAAACGGCAGCACCGTACATTGTTCTGTTGCCGTTTTGAACATCTTCAATTGCTTTTTTCAGGGCATCCTTAGTGTATCTTAACCGTCCGCAACTTTGGAGGTTTTACGGATATAATTTCTGACCATATTTGCTCTAGAAAAAACGAGAATGCCCACTACTATGTCAATTTCAGGTAACTGGAACATATTTTCCAGTTGCCCACATCATATACGTTCTAGTTGCCTCTGTAGGTAGTATTTTTACCGGGGCAACTGGAACCCCAACTGTATTTCTCTTAATTTAAATTCTAACCTCAAAACAAACCCAGCCTACCTTGACAATATTATTTTCTTACGGTTAAACATGCTCAATGCAAAATTATTCACTTTAATCAATTACCATTGATTGAAATCCACACTCCTCTCACGTGTTGTAATGATTCACTTTGTAAAAGTAACAATATTCGGGTTTTTCTCACTCAACTAATCCGGCCGCGTTCCTTCTAAGCATGCAGGGTATAAATGAGACAGACTTGTAACAGATTTTGATGCGCGGGAAATTCAAATTTCAATAATAAGCCAAAAACTGGCATATGGCCCAGTCACCCAGCTGTTCCAGTTAACCAAGTCGACCTTATATAAAAACCAGACATCAAACTGATAGAAGAAAATTGAAATAATAGGTACACTTAAACCGAAAATGGCATTGAATAATGATGCTGCTAGATTATGTTCAGGTTTATATCTTCATATGAAGCAATAATCGAATTAAAAAAAAGGCAGTAATTAATTATTTCTATTATCTATCTATTGTCTTCTAGAAGAAAAACCCGAAATATATATAAAATAAGTATGAAACTGGTTGGGGATTTTGTGCATAATGTAACAAAACCGAATGAGGGGATCGATGACCACCTTCTCAAATACGATGTCTCAATCCCTTAGGGCCTATAATAGTTTTTAATATGCCTTAAATTGATATATTTAGTTCGTTTACATATTCAGTATTATTCCAGTTGAAATAACTGAGAAAACCACTAGGGATGCCAGATAAGAATAAAATGCCATGACAGTAAATACAAAAGATAAAGAGTAGGTACTTTCCAAACCTACTCGTAACATTAGAAGAAATATTCGTATTATACCTTCAATGTCATCTTTGCCTTGAAATTTGTCTGTGCAGCACTCCTCCGAAATTCCTAATAATATTCATGCAACATGGGCGCAACATTAAAGGATCTTGGTTATAGTCGTAGTCGTATTAAATGTCAATGCTAAGACATGCAAATAGATAGGAGAGTAAAAAGCTGGGTGAAAACTACAGAACTTAATTTTCAAAAATCGCCCTGTTCTGCTATGAATAACTTTGTTCCAATAATTTAATCAAACACATTTCATGCTGTAATTTTTTCGAAGCGGGAATGGCTTTCTTCTCAAATCAGATATTCTCTAAGGCGTTTTTCTTGTTTCCATAGAAATTCTTGCCTGATGTTACGCCAAATTAAGCTAAAAGAAATGTTTTATCATATGGTAAAATATTTATTTGGCTCAAATTTAGTTCATTTTTAGGGTTAAAATATTACTGATGTAATTATTTTTCTAATTTCAGAATCGAGGCAATGGGTTAGATATGAACGTAATACCAGCTTGGTTAGAAGGTATTACAGGAAAAGGAGCAGTTGTTACTATATTAGATGACGGCTTAGAAAAAGACCATCCTGATTTGGTGAAAAATTATGTAAGTCGATAAAATAAGGGTCAATTAACTAAAACTTTTCCAGTAAATTAACGAAGAAGGACTAAACTAAACAAAAAAATCGCTTCTAAAACCCTCGCATACTAATTACGTCGGGTTGTTACATTTGTCTTTTGCACGCTCGTATTTATCTTTCTTTTTAAATTGTTCTGATGCAATTATCTTCCAATTTTTTCGGCCAAGACATTAATCTGATTACAGCACTACTAATTTAGGCTGGTAAATCTGCTTTAATGACATATTTGAAAACTCGAAAATAATCTTGTCGCCGCCAAATTATTATTCCCATATGTCTTAATGATCCGAAACGCGGAGTGGGTGATATAAATAGTTGAAAAGTGCATTTCTCTTACCCATCGCATTCCGTACAAGGATGTAATTATGTAATCTTTAGGAATTAAAGCACAGAGCGCTTTGATCTTTTTACAGTGATATACCATCACATGCACATGACATCATCATTTTGCTGTCAGCCAAATTTAAAGAACTGTCTGTGTAAAAGACTTGCATTTTGAGTTTTTTATGCATAATTTCAGCTCCTCTAGCTATGTTTGCATTATTAGGAAACAGTTTGAAGTTTGATTATTTTTATTTTTAACCTTAAATTTTGTTTTTTCTACTGTGCTTGGACACCAGTCGACACAAGCAAACCAAATCATCTTCATTTATAAAACATACACATACTGGTATTGTGATTCTGCAACAGTGTAGGGCTCCCACACAATTAGGAATTTGAACAAATTTCTTGTGAAAAGCAAATTATTACCCGTAGTTCTTGAGAAAACTGGGAGTCGATTTTATAGACAGTCATTGTGGTGATATATTGAAACCCGTGAATCTGGTATTATGGTCATGTACCTACTGGAATACAGATCTGAAAAAGTGTTCATGTTTCTAGGCTTAGTTCAAGACTAGCGCATTTTGCATTTGGAGATTTTCCACCAACATTATGTGACTCACCGTCTTCCTTTTTGACTTTTTTTAAGCCCCAAGGGCACGGAGAATAGAAATGTACTTTTTAGAAGAAATATTGGCAGTAGCGGTTTTATCTTGATCATCTGTAGGTATCAGTGCATCAGGTGTGGTCTTCAAGAGCATTATCACCTTCATTAGAATCGCTGCTCGTGATAGTTTTTCTAATGCCGTTTTTAAATATGTCTGTTCATGAACCTTGTTATGGCCTTCTTCAGAAATCATCTAGAGTGCGAAGGACGAAGTACTTTGACTTTAGCTTGATTCTAGGGGGAAGCCTCCTATCAAGTTGTATTGCGATAACAAACCGCGTTTGGGTGAAAACTTCTATATGGACTGAAAAAAAAAGTTTATTAATAAAATATGCATAATTATTAATGCATTTATTAGATTGCATTATAACAATTAACACAACCCAACGAAATTAAATTTGTACATAATTAATTAGACTTTTGTTTGTGGTCAAAAACAGAGATTATGGTTTTTTATATTTTATATAAACTGAAAAATGTTTTCAAATTGCAAAGTACAAACGTTAAACACAAAAAGATAAAACATAGAATAATTATTGTCATTGGGGATCGTCCTTTCGATCTTCCAATGCTGGTCCTAATTTGAACACATTATCAGTATGGTACAAATTACCAGATAATGTATTTCCCAGATATTATGAGTAAATCTTTTTCACTAATTATTTTAATTAAAAAAACATTTTTTATTATTCTAGGATCCATTAGCCTCGTACGATGTTAATAACCAAGATTCAGACCCTAGTCCACGATATGATATGATAGATTCCAACAGGCATGGTACACGCTGTGCTGGAGAAGTAGCTGCTACCAGCAATAATAGTATTTGTGCTTTGGGTGTGGCTCATGGTGCTCAAGTTGGTGGTGTTCGTATGCTTGATGGAGATGTTACAGATGCTGTTGAAGCTAGAAGCTTAAGTTTGAATCCTCAGCATATTGACATCTACAGCGCTTCTTGGGGGCCCGATGATGATGGCAAAACTGTTGATGGACCGGGAGAATTAGCTACTAGAGCTTTTATTGAAGGTGTTACCAAAGTAAGAAGCCACAAAATCTTTTTTTATATGAACTACCTAGAATGTCCTGTTTGTTTTCTATAAAGGGTCGTAATGGTAAAGGTTCCATCTTCATATGGGCTTCAGGAAACGGCGGTAGAGATCACGACAATTGTAATTGCGATGGCTACACTAACTCAATCTACAGTTTATCCATATCCAGCGCTACGGAAAATGGAAATGTTCCTTGGTATAGTGAAGCATGCAGTTCTACTTTAGCCTCCACCTATAGCAGTGGCGCTGTCCACGAGCGTCAGGTAGTGACAACGGATTTACGCCATTCTTGTACTAGTAGTCATACTGGTACTAGTGCTAGCGCACCTCTAGCTGCAGGTATTTGTGCTCTAGCACTTGAAGCGAATCCCAAACTCACTTGGAGAGATATGCAACATATTGTCGTAAGGACTGCCCGACCTCAACACCTGACTGCAACTGATTGGCAAGTGAACGGCGTTGGAAGAAATGTATCTCACAGTTTTGGATATGGATTAATGGATGCTTACCTCATGGTGAAGATGGCAAGGAATTGGGTTACGGTACCTGACCAGCATAAGTGTGAAATCAGTGCTCCAGATGCTATAAAGTGAGTACTTATTAACATATTGTCATCAAGAACAACATTTTTTGCCTTTAATTTATCTTATAACATTTCACACCTAAAAATCTTTTGGAAATATTCGGCTCTTTCACTAATTTTTGAAATTGGCATAATTGAATAAAGCAACTAAAAATAGAGTTTTCTGCATGCTTACTTTTGAAAAATTTTTAGTACTTTTTGAGAAAATAGATGAAAAAGAAAACTCTCTAAATAAAACACCGGATTTATCTGCACTACGTCACAGCTTGCATTTTGACAGTGTTTCCGCTAATTGCCAGCATTGAAAATGTATTATATATTTATTTCTAAAATATTCGCAAAATACCAAGAAAAATAATTAAATTAATTACTTAGGGATTCAAGAGTTCATAACATTTTCTTCTGAATTAATATCATACACAATTTAAATTTATTTTTTTGCAATTAGTTTTAATTTTTTTCTCTCACGACGCACTACATTTAGTCCCAACTGGCAATAGCGCAATCAAAGCTTCAAGCCAGCAGCGGGCACGGGTACAGCTGTGCGTCCTTTGTCGATGGAATATTCTTGAATTTGATTGGTAGAAGATGGTGATATCCCTTATAATATGTCATCGTTTGGCGCCTTTCAAGGATTCTAAATTTTTTCCATTTTTGAAGTGCCTGTAGAAAACTCATTTAAGCTCCTAGATCTTTTTTTTTCTTTGCCGAATATACCTGAAATAGTGCTTTATTTAGGATTTTCTGCTTAAATGCTAGAAATTAAAATTTTAGTGAAAGAGCCCATGCAGATTTCCCAAATAAACATATTAATGATGTTGAGGAACTGGGTAACTTTCATTTATTTGTATTTGGAAAATGTTTCATGGATTTTTTGAGTAAGAGTGGCAGTCAAAATATACCTCCCAGAAAAGTTGTAAATAGGAAAATAAGGTTTAACAGAGCATCAAATAGAGCTCGAAATCGCATTTTTAGATTCATAAATTACCCAAACTGTTTTTTTGTTCACGAAGAAACTGGCGCAAAATGAAAACAAATAAAAGTATTTTTATTACTGAAAAAGTCATTTAAAAGAAGTAAAGAAAAAGAAACCATTTCTCCTCACCACGAGAAAAATAATGAATTGCGAAGCTGGCGAATGCATAAATTCTCTTTCAACCTGTTAAAAACATAAAACTAGATTTTTCGGTAAAATAAATGATTGTTATTCCAAGACAGTAAGGGACTTAGATCCGCCGGCGATTTTCAGGTCGATTCCAGCCAGAAGCGTGGTGGTTCTTCCATTGCAAGTGACTGAATGCGACGGGGTTGAAATCTTGGAACACGTCCAGGCGAAGTTGACGATTTACGCTCAGAGACGTGGAGATTTAAATATTCAGTTGACTTCTCCTATGGGAACAAGAGTTACTCTCTTGGCACATCGAGCCCATGACAATTCCAGATCTGGATTTAATTACTGGCCCTTCATGTCTGTCCATTCCTGGGGTGAATCGCCGTTTGGTACTTGGGAACTTAAAATTCACAACGATGGAAGGCTAATGGGTAAGTTTATAAGTATATTTACATATAACAAAATAATCGTTTTTTTTTTTTTTTTGAAATGGCATGATAAGAGTATTAGAAAAACAATGATTTAACGATTCAACCTTTCTTTTATTAACTTAAAATATTGACATATTTTATTGCAACTTGCTATCTAACATTACTAACCCATTAACATAATGCCCCTGTTAATTTTCAGGACGAGCGACACTTCAGAGCTGGTCCTTAATAGTTTATGGGACTAAGCAGTTTGTATCTTTGTCGGCGAACGAATCATTGAAACCGAATAAAATTAAGTCTTCTAGAGGCTCTAAAAAAAATAAATTGAAACAAAAAAATTTACAAAAACTTAAAAATCAACGACCACCTTTTTCAACAACGAGATTACCAAAAACGGCAAGCAAATTAAAAATCAAACAGGTCACTGTTTTGAAAGACAAAAACGTAGTCGTTGAAAATAATGTTGATAACATTCTCAGTACTACTTTTAAATCAAAAATGATAGTGCCTACCAATAACACAATAATAACATCAACAACCGATTTTTCGCCATATTTTTACGCGGTATCAAATAGCAAAATAAAATTGGACCATGAAAGTATGGTCAAACATTATTTGAAATTTGTAAAGAACGTAACGATTACTTATCCGGTTATGATTCCTGCTAGAGACTCCACGGAAAAGAAAACCTATAAGAAAAGCCAAAAAATGAAGGAAAAAAGTCGTGACATCAATTTTAAGCACGATATTAAAGATTTTCTGCCGAAAACTACGGAAAAAACAACTTCAAGTAAAGAACACAAGGGTAATTTAATAGCATGCATGCTTGATAAATTTTTTATTTGACATTTTAATATTTTTGATAAACCAAATGTGCATGGTATAAAGCTTGAGTTTTTTTTTTATGTGTTTTTGTTAGGTAGGTACCTATTTATAGGAATATGCTTTTGCTCATGTAGTAAGTTATGCAACAGAAGCACCCACTTGATTAAATATTGCCGAATAGTTCGACATGAAACTGATTATTAAAGCACAGTGTTTTTTATTACAACTTAATTAAGCTTTGAATATTAATTTTATCAAGTTAGACATTTTGTAATAACTGGGGAGATTTTAACCTCCTATTCTGTCACTTTTTTATGACTCTGTGGGGGAAATGACATGTTCTTGCCAGATGGCCGCTAGCCCTTACAGCCACCAAAATTGCCGTTATTCTTGCTGGTTTGAAATCTCTCACTTATTACCTACCTGAATTTATTTTTACGTTTATTTTCTGCTATAGAACGTAGGTACATAGCTATTGTATTAAACCTTTCGCTCAATATGTCTTCGTCTTCATTTGAATGGTTTCAGTTACATTGATTGTATAGCCTTTCTAGTGTTTAAAAAGAAATATTTTAGGACGCCTTTTTTACTTAAATTTTATAGCTTCTTTTCTACACTTGGCTTTCTGAGTAAGTTTGAAACGTCGCTTGTATTGACTGAAATTTTGATTTTTGAGATTTACCATTATTGTGAAAGGGCGATAAAAAAAATTTGATAATAAATATGAAAAATATTATCAAATTTGAGATAAAACTATGCTGAAAATGTCATAAATTTAAAAGCTTTGACAGGAAAATAGAGAACTATTACTGAAGAAATTACTGAACCTAAAAGTCTTGATGACTAAAAATTGCTAAATAATAATAAAGGTATATGCATACCTACCTAATATCTAAAGTTTCCTAGAAATGCAAATGCAATTGCATAAATTCCCCTAAAAAGTGTGTCAACTAGGAAAGTAAAAATAAAAACATAGTGAGCCAAATGATCAATTAGTTAAAATAAATGGTCCTTAATATTTTTGTTTGTCCAATTTTTCTTTCAAATAAACATACTTTGACAGGTTGATACTTTTTGACTTAGCTCGAATTAATTCTCTTTGTGTCATTAAATTTCATTAAACTATTAAGTAGGTTGTTTAACTCTCTTCACTAACAACCACAACTTTTATTGAACTAATTTACTAATTAAGTTTACAAAATTCAGTTAATCACCGCAACTTTATACAACAATTCTCTTATTCAAAGCGACTGCAACTTACAAACTACGCGTTTCATTCACATAATCAATCTTCCGAGAAATCTGAATCAACGGAATTCTTGGATATTCGCGCATCCGTCGTGCACAGTGGCGTCGGCTTTTCCGCACGAATGTAATTACATAGTAATATTTTTGAATGTGATTGCTCAACCCCCACAAAAAGGGTCTTCCTGTCAACGCATCATGTTTTAAAAAAAATAATTTGGAAAATAAAGATTTTAAAGACGTTTCTTTTCAAATGTACCTACCCACCTACCGCTACAAGTTATATTTTTTTTTGCATTGATATTACTATTATTATACAAAGTAAAATACATTATTCTTGTTTTGTTTTTAGCCAACATTAAACAATGGGATCTAACCCTGTATGGTACTGCCACGCCAACTGCCTATGACTTGAAACAACAGGGGGGAGGAATTTCCATTCCAGAGCACAACGAAATTATTTCAGATAACTCAATAACTTCTTCGCCAAGTTGGAATGGTGGAGCTGAGGTAAGGAATTCCCTACATTTCGAATAAAGAAAAAAAAATTATTTCATGACTCCTTTTTTTGTTTTTGAGTTGAAGGTCTCTGAATTTTTGCAATGCTTTACTATAATTTAAAATTATGTCGGAGACTAATGACTTTATTGAAAATCCTTCAATTATTATTCCATATTTCTCCGCATGTAAATTATCTGTGTAAAAAAATAGGCAAAAAAGTGGGATTTTTTTGAAGAGTGTCCTCTTGTGTGTCAGATTGGACAAAAATGTTAATTTTTATTTCTATCATATTGCCATATTTTAACTATTGCTCTCTAGAACTTTGAAAGCAACAAAATAAATGTATGCGAATTTTGTTACAATGTAGTAAATATACATCAATTGAGAATATGTTGAACTCCTTAGGCTGGCTTAATATAGAACAATGCATTAAAAAGGCAAACCTTATATTAATATATAAAATTGAAAACAACTTGTTGCCAAATTATTTAAGTTTGTACTTAGAAACACGATCTCAGTTTCAGCACAAAAGATCATTACAATATTAGTGGAGCTAGAACAACAAAATTACAAAACACGCTATTTCATGATGGACTACGATATTTCAATAGTCTACCAACCCATGTAAAAGACTCTCCTAGTTTAAGTGTTTTTGTCCAACAACTATGTACTTATTTACGCAGTTAAACGTTTAATATTATTGTTGAAATGTAAATTGTATTTTAAATTAGCCAAGCGTTAAATAAATATATATTATTATTATTATAAAACGGCCTAATTATATCCAGGATACTTTTTATATTCCACACAAATGAATTCTGATTTTTCTCAAAAATGTATGGGTAATTACATTGACATTTCTATACGTAATTTCAATTAAATTACCACTATCAGCATAGATGGTACGGTAACATGAAAAAAAATAACTTATTACTAATTTTCAATTTTGTTTCAGAATCGCAAGCATAGATTAGAAGCAGATGAAACAACTAGCTCAGGATCGTGCAAAAAATCTAACGGCAATTTTTGTTTAGGTTTGTTATGTTTTGTTTTAGTAACATACATGCGTTCATCATTAAATCACGATATTCTCTCTGTGTTACTAATACCCACCAGTGTACTAATTTTTGTATTAGACCATTATTTGTCCGTAAATAATATCCGAACGTATCTAATCCGTAATAATGTAGATCGGTACAAATATGATAGGGACGAAAAACATCAAACCAATGCACTGGAACAAAATCTTGACAACAATTTTCACATAAATATCTCAGAAAATTGTGTTTCATTCAATTGGACAGTTTACGCGTGTTTAAGACGTCTGGCTAGTTATCCTTTTTCGGTTGCAGTTAATCATACAATAACGTAAATAGTATATTATTTTAAAAAATTGATTTATTTAGGATTACATTAGCTGTAAATTTTTGTGTACAGTACCTACTGCAAAATACCTTGTGGGAGCCATTATCTTTATATAATGATGCCCAGCATTATTTCAAGTATTTCCAATTATTACAATGCTGATCAATTCCAAATAAATTATTGCTTTTATCTGTGATCGTTTAGGAACAGTTTATTTTTTATTTAAAAATTTCAGTTTGGAAATTTTTTTGCGGCACTATACAAGAAAATGGCTGTTGTAATTATTTAAATTGAAAATATATTTTTTTTTCAATACTGTACCTGAGGAAGGATAGTTAGTTTTTATAATGTATATCTTATTTTTCTTTGTTGGACTATGCTGAATTATTTTATTATGGATGAAAATGATCATATCTTTGTTGTTTTTATGGATAGTTGCGAATTCAAAATAATAATAATTGGAAGTATAAATTATGCTTCACTGGGCATCTCAAAAACAAAAATCAATTTTATGGGGGTTTCCATTGTGCCATTATACATAAAAGTATAAAAGCCACTTTGATCAAAACATATTTCTACATTTCGAAAATTTCTAATTTTATATAGATAATTGGTACAAAACGTTAATTGAAATTTTCGAAAGTAGTTTATGGGGCTAGTTGGGACTTGTTTTATTACCCCCCATTTTCGTAATAAATTCATTGGCAATGGTTTGTCGAATATCACGAGATAGCTTAGGAGTAGAATAATAAATTTCTAATTTTGAAATTCTCCCCCAAATGTTCCTAATGTTTATTTAATATCAAAGTGCTGTTGTCAAACTGCCGACATCAATTTATATTCCACAGTACCCCAGTATGTTATTGTTCCAGACAAAAAATGGACAAATTGATTGAAAAATTAATTCCATAATCTTGTTGTATTCCAATCGTTTATCGATGCCACTGAATAAATGTGAGATTAGGGGCGATTTTGTTTATCTATAATAATTGTGAAAATGAACGTTTAACTTTTAAAATATCAAACAGATTTTAACGAAGAAATTCCATCAGTAAGTTTAGCTGTTGATGAAAAAACTGGCCCCAAAAATTTCTTTCGTTCCTGATTAGGTCCTATTAGGATGATGGTGTAATATTTTTGTTGCTTCATTTGTGCAATTTTAGTCTTCCATGATTTTAAAAAGTATGTAGTTACAGCGCCAAAACCCAGCCACATAGGTATTTCGTTTTGTTGAAAATATGAGCTTCCACAATGCCGCCAAAGCGCATTCGTTCAACAAACAAAAAATACATAGCGGAGTAAAAGCCATATTGCAGATATAGTTTATATAAACTTATTAATTTATACCCACCGACTGACTCGTTCGTTTCTCGGTTAATTTGTACTCTCTACAGTGACATAAGTTGTCTCAACATGGGTATTTACTTGAAAAGATATAAAATTTATTTAATTAGTGAGTAGTGACTTGAATAATATAAATACGGCGGCATTGGACAATATAATTCACTAGTCTTTTGGGAGTCAAATTATTTCTTGTAAGTGTTTTTTGGCAATGATAAAATTGGTATTTTATATTTTAGTCTATAGCAAATCCACATAATTACAATGTGAAAAAATAGAACATTTCAAAAATTCAAATTAAAAAGCATCGAAACCTCCTTGCTTTGACGTTGGTCTGCATACTTTTTAGGTAGATATTATTATAGGCATCTGCACAAGCTATTGCCTTGGACTTTTTTTGAGGTTTGCTTTTCAATTCAAAAAGTGTGACATCGAAAACATGATGAATATATCAGGTGCTTTCTTCATTTCAATAATTTTTTTCCCAAATTAAAAAAAAAAAATGCTGATTATCAAGAAATAGTTTTCTCCCATAGTCTCATAAGTTGCAAATTCTCGGCTTCTTTTTTTTTCTAAATTTACCCATTTTTTGAAATAATAAAAATGTTGTGGCCTTTCATCATTTAAAGTATTTATGCTAATTCACAGTTATTTCAAACCATCAGGTACGCAAAAGTTATCCAATGAAACTATACTTATCAGCAACGGTACTTAATTTATATTGGTATACTTAGTTCAAGTTGAAAATATCGCCAAACATTAACTTTACCTTCTTGAATGAGTTAATTTTTTGACAAATGTGCCAAATTTAATATAGTTCTCTAAAATATTGAATAATTATCTAATGTTGGTCAGGGTAGTCAAATAAGTCGACAATATATTAATATAAATAGAAAATTCATTTAGGATACGATTCAAGTAAAAAATTTCCCATATATAGGTACCTACCAATAATAATTTTAGAACATGCCACCAACTTTGATGTAAAATTTGTTTGCAAAAGAACAATTTACCTCGGTAATAATTTAGATTGAGATTAGATCTGATGATAATAATCTGCCACATAGTTAAATTTTAGTAAGGTAATAATTTACTGTGATTGTTTAATGTACATAATAATGTAAAAGACTCACTTTATTTAATGTTAAGACAGGGTATTCATCAAGTTTTAAGCTATATAACTTGGGAAAGTATTTTAGAATAAAATCGTTATTACACTAGTTAAAGTAGCAATAAAAAAATTTGCTTGGACAAATGTGATTATTAAAAACATATTTACAAACAATTTGAATATATCGTTGTTCCTTTGTACTTTTCTAAGAAAAAAATGACTACTTTGGGATACCCTGTACATTAAAAGTAGTTCCTGGACGTATGTTACCCATTAGTTTAAGGTATAAATGGATGTATGTCTTTTTAGTGTTTACCAACTACTTTATTTATAATGAATGTAAAATCGGAAAATATTTGGGTGCGTACTGATCAATCATTTAAACAGGTACCTACCTACTTCATATTATCCAAATTATTGATTCTTGAACCATAATTTACAGCCTTCATTTTCACCTGAGATTTTTTTAAATAATATTAGAAATGCTTATAATAATTTCTAGTCATTTCAACAATATTTTTAACAGTTTGAATATCATTTATTGTTACAAAAATGTTCAGTGCAAATTTAGTGGGTTATTTAATATTTTCTTTAAAATCAAAATTTAGAAATCAAAATTAGGATTTATTACTTAATAAATGTTTAGTGTTATGTAATCCTTGTGAAAGAAATATAACCTTCTAAAAATTTTAGATAGGTATTTGATGAATTTCAACAATGTTCTTTTAAAATAATTTTAATTTTGTAGGGTGGTCTGTCTGAAGTAAAGGGATTTATTATGTTTTTAACAAACTTTTCCTTTTTAGTTTTCCTGTGTCTTTCACAGGTTGGAATGTTATTTAAGGTATTTATTTTAGAGAAAAAGACATTTTTTTTTACTATTCCTACACATGGGTTTTTCCTTGGCCTAATAAATATATAGGTGATTTTTTTACATGACTATAGACAATAAACTTTAGGCTATATATTTATTAGTTTGGACATATGATGCCTATTTTATATTCTAACATACCAGTATATTTTGACATCATAATAACGAACGGAGTATTTGTTATACTTCGTTTTTTGTTTATTATAGACTATTTATATTATACTGTTATTTACTTAAGAGTTTCGTTATTTAAACAAATGTCATTTTCCTATATTAAAATAGTAGGTAGTTAAATTATTTTATACATATCTATTATTGGAGGGTTATATTTCAAAGTTTCTTTAAAAAAAAAAAAAAAATCGCTCAAAGTGTGAATTTGATTGTGTGATCCTGCTGGCCATATTATAAATTTAAGTTTAAAATTTGTGACATATTAACGTACCTTTTTTTTATAATTTGATGGCCAAAATAAGTTTGTAGCATTTTTATCTAGTCGCATTTTTGATAATATCGTTTGTGTAAATAGAAATTTTAATTGATCCTGGATAAAATTGCTATAAACGTTTTGTTGTTATTTATGCTATATTGTACCCCCTACTACTGTTTGTAAAATTTACAATATAATAAAAACTGTGGTAAAATAATATTTGTTTTTGGCTTTTCAATGTTTTCTTTTTAAGATTAATTTGTGTTTAAATAACTATTCTGACTTGCAAGTTCCTGGACCAAATGCATTGCAGATAAGGAAATTAGGTAAGTTGTTTTCAAAACTTTTGCATGAAATAATATTTGTGTTGAAATTGTTGTCAGATTTTGTTTTTTTTGCCGAGATGTATTGTATACTATGTAGAAAACTGTAGATATAGTTTAATAATGGCACTAACCCATACTAAAAAATATTTATAATCCACTTGTTAAAAACAATTCATATTTTTTTTTTTTTAGAATGCTTTTCAGGCCAAACTCTATACAATGGTACTTGTCTGAAAAATTGCCCAGAAGGTTATTATGATACTGAAAATAAATTAGACATACAAACTGAAAAAAGTGCTGCATGTGCGAAGTGCCATTATAGTTGTAAGAGCTGTACAGGATCCATGGATTATCAATGTACAGAATGCTTCCCCGATGCTCTAATTTATAAGGCTTCGTCCAATGAAAATTATTGCTATTCAAGGCAAGTTATGGTTGAAATTGTGTCTTCCAGATGGTATTACCGAGTCATCTTTTTTGCACTTGGATTATGTGTATTATTTTTAATATTAGCTCTAATTTATTGCAAGAAAAAACAACCAGGTGGTTATAAACGTATTCAAACAAATGAAGAGGAAGATGAAATTTCAAAGGCTGCTTTAAATTATCATGACTAAAAAATTAAATTATTAGGTAAGCCTGAAGTGTTAAAAAATCTTAAACTGTGATCTTTAACTTTTAATCATATTTTGATAATAATAGTTGATTCTTTATGTAGCAGATTCAATAGGATTGTTGCAACCCGTCAAAAAACCGTCCCAGAGCGGTTTCGGAACCACTCCTGTATACCAATTTTGGTTTCTACGCAAAAATTTTAGGTTTTGCGGAGAATCCTGACTGTAATATTACGGGTTGGAACAAAGCTATGATTGCATGTTTTATCTCACCGCGCTGTAAATAAACTATTTTATTAATCTAATAGTTTTATTTTTGTGTCCTGGGCTTTGATGAATTGTTTGTACAACGACAATAAATATAAATTTTTTGATATTTACGGGGTCTTTTTCGCAGGAATGCCCTAACTCTGGACATGTACAATAAAAATATTTATAAATAAAAACTCAGGAGTAAGTATTTGTACGAATATAGGTACACCCTAAATACTTACCTTTGTGGTGTGCCAGGGGCGGCTTCTCAATAAGTGCGCTCGTGCGCGCGCACTGCCTCCAAAATCCAAGCAAGAAAATAAAATTAAAATTTTGGAAAGAAAAGAAACTTCAATTAAAAAATACCTACCCAATTTTCTAAATTAGGATAAATATCTACTCATTTTTATATTTTTAAATTCGCACGAACGGAACGAAAGCGCGCCCTGCGCCTGTCTTGTATATTTTTTTCTCCCGCTTGGTTGTGCTGGTGGTCCGGGTGGTCGGTGTGGAATCGTTCGGCGCTCTGGGTAAATGTGTTTTCTCGCTGTGCGATTGATCGGGAATATACGGTCAGTCGCCCGATGAAAGGGATGCGCCGTGCGCTATTTGAATACACACTTCCAATGTTGTTTCCACTCAATCGAGAATATTTCGATGTTTTTTCACCATTTTGGCGGTTTGACAACTCTGTTGTTCGCGGTTTTTTTTTTAATTATAAATTTCAATATCAATTATGTATTATGGCTAGAATACAAACATTCAAGCCTCATTTAAATACCTACATATATTTTTGTTTTCGATAATTTTTCCTAAAGTAAAAAGAAAAAAAATCAACATACAAAATAAATGTAAAACAGGACGTGGCACCTCCAAAAATTTTTCCAAGAGCGCACAACCACACTAGGTTGCCACTGGCCGCCACTGTGGTGTGCTTAACTCCTGCTTTCATGATTCAGCTCCTTTTCAGCCTATAGGGTTTTTTGCGCAGGGTCTGGAAAGTTGCAGTCTTCCAACTTTAAAATTACTATTTGTTTTAAATGAAATACCCTATTAAGTATGTCATCGAAAAAACAGGCTCACTTAAGGTGTCCATTTACCGTAATACCTAGCCTTAAAATGAATGAAATAGTGGGGTGAGATAGGTAAGAAAAGTTTCAGATCTAGTAACCGATGCGCCTCTTTGGGTTCAGATAGAATATGGGTAGACGAGTCCAAAAAGCCCGGATACAATTTTTTTTGGCCCTATAGCGGCGTTGATGACGTAATCAATATGGCCCCAATTTTTCTGTGACATGATTGTACATTTCCCCGAGCATTTCCCTATATAACTCGAGTTTTTATTCTGATATCAACCTATATTATTAGTGATTATTAATCAAGAGGAGACGCGCTTTAGAACGGTATATTGCACATTATAACCGGTACACCTACTTATTTGTTACGACTTATTTCACCTTACAGTGAAAGCGACGGGATTTACGCACATAATACCAGAAATAGTTGCAACTTTATTAAAATTGTTGATTTTTATTTTCATTTTACGAAACATTATGCTGAATAACTTGGAATCAGTTATATTTGGCTGAAAATGTGTCGTATACTTTTCTGTGAGCTACCTATTTTCTAAACAAAAGTTGCTGAAAATTTGTCAAAACAACGTAGGTAGTAAGTATTGCACAGCACAGCAAGTTGTTATGGCAACAATGTAATTTGTACGGGTTGCGGAAAGTAATAGAGCGGCTTCTTGAAGAAATTACCCAATCATGATGGTACGACTGACCTAGGGGTGGTTCCATTTGTATGGTACCTGTGTTTGGTTATGCCAGAAGCATTCAAAAGAGCGTTTGATTATCCCGAAGCATGAAGGTTATTTAACCATGGCAAAAAATCTTGCAATTTATGCTGAACATGTTCAGCTTCCAAGTGGTACCTATAAGAAATTTGGACCAGTTGAACGATGGGCGTGGTCTTTCACAATCACTAGTAACCCGTGCAGCAAAATATCACCAATCTTGCAAGAACAAAAATATGACAGTCAAAAAGCCGAAAGGCTATCTTGTGAAAAGAAACCGAAAAAGCGTCCATTTTGCTCAGACCAAACACCATCTACATCAAAATTTACAAAATCAACATTATTTTGTTCAGATGTAAAAAACATGCGTCTGTTTTGTGGCGAAGGAGAAGGTAAAGACAGACTTGACTGCATCCACGCTGGGTATCAGGCTTAAAACTCATAGTCACGCTGTACAATTACAAAATGAAAAAGTGTTGAAGAAGTTATCATCAACAGATTTTGTAGCATTAGAAGCCAAATATCACAAACTATGCTTTATTCGTTTTCTACCTTGTTCACGAGCTGCTGAACGTTTCCAAAGAGAAGAATACTATAATCCTGAACTGTCCTGAAGAAGTTGTTTATGGTGCAGTTATAACAATTACAATACATTGTAATGACCCGGAAAAAAAAAATCGTAATTTACAAGTAAATGTTAATTTCTATTTATTTCAAATGCTGGGTCAGTTACAGAAAATTTACTTTTTTTCCAAATAAATGCATTTGCAATTGAATTTGACATTTGAATTTATTGGATTATTGTTTCATAAAATCGTCTGCCTCCAAAAATTCTCTACTCAATTTTCCGTCTCATGTTTTGTCTTCCTGGCTCTTGAAATTATCGAAATCAAGAAAATTCAATAAGAGCCTGGAATAGAAAAAAACATTGATTTCCACTTACCTACCAATTTTTTAAAATATTTCTTCTTATTTCTCAATATTTCTGTCAGTTTTTGTCTATTCTCATCTCTTGAGTTTTCGTTTTCTTCAGTGGCGGATTTACGATTTATGGGGCCCTACGCTACATAATTTTTGGGGCCCCTACCCCCTACCCCTACTTGGTAAAACAAATTTTCATTTTAGAATTTATTGATAAATTAAAATAAAATCGAAACGAAGTTCTAAAAGTACAACCGAAAAAATTCATAACTTTAAAAAAACTAAAAACTAGGTACCTACTAGTAGGGATATAAGTGACATCGAGAACTATCGTGGTATTTCCATCTTATCTACTATTCCTAAACTCCTCGAATCTATTCTAACTGACGAGATATTCACGACTTACAACAGATACTTTAACTCTGTTCAGCATAACTTATACCGAGGACGTTCTATCACAACCAACCTTGCAGTCTACCAGAACTGTTTGGTCACCTCAGTTGAACAGGGACATCAAGTTGATTCTATTTATACCGACTTATCCAAAGCCTTCGACAGCGTTCACCATAAGCTCCTCCTCAAGAAATTCTCAGAAATTGGGATAATTATGGAAACTATCTCAGCTGAATTCAATCTTACTTTGGTGATCGCCGGCAGCGAGTTGATGTCGCTGGTACACTATCCAGTAAAGTAATGGTTACCTCTGGTGTCCCTCAAGGACAGGGACGTAGCGAAGGCCTCTGGTTTGGGTGGGGGTGACATTTCTAATTTTCCCAACTTTTTTGAAACATAAAAAAAATCATATATAGCATCGTACACGTGTTAAAAAGTGAAACTTTTTAAAAACTATTGCCTTCCTCATACAACTTTTAGACATAGTGCATGAGTCGAGGTATAAAGACGAAAGGCTACACAAAAGAAAAACGCGCATCTGTAGTGACGTCACAAGGGTAACGGCGCTTGACAATAATAGGCAATCCACTTTGTTTATAATCCTTGGTTTGTGTGAATCGTTCGTCGGCTGTCATTGTCATTGGCTGTCTTTCTCCTTCTGTCTACGTTATATCTTTCTTCTCTCTCGTCTTTCGTGTGCCGAAATTTGCCAAAACATGTCGTTACGTTAACGTGACGCGTCTTTCAAAACAATTTACAAGAAGTTTCACTTAAGAAAAATCATGTGCAGCGCATTGTGCACGTGTTGGGAGGTGAAACTTTTTAAAAACTATACCCTCCCTCATACAGCTTTTAGACTTAACGTATGAGTCGGGGTAAAGACGAAAGGCCACACAAAAGGGAGACGCGCATCTATAGTGACGTCACAAGGGTATCTGCGCTTGACAACAATAGGCATTCCTTTTTGCTTATAAACCTTGGTTTGTGTTAATCGTTCCTCGTCTGTGATTGTCATTGGGTACATTCAGGCGGTCCCAGCGGCTAAGCTCAGCCACTCATCAGGGACTTTATTCTCGAAACCAAGGAACAGTGTTCTCATAAGAACGATTGCTCTGTCATTGTCAGTGTTATGCCAGACGACAAAGACAGAACCTTCGTTCCAATGAGAACGCTGCTCCTCTGTTTCGAGAATAAAGTTCCTGCTGAGTGGCTGAGCTTAGCCGCTGGGACCGCCTGAATGTACCCATTGGCTCGCTTTCTCCGTCTCTCTACAATCTACTATATATTCCTTCTCTCTCATCTCTCGTGTAACGAAATTTGCCAAAACGTGACGTTACGTGATGCGTTTTTCAAATCACTCTCCATCTCCATATTCTTGTCTAAATATCAGACCGCCGCCTAAGAAGTTTCACTTCAAAAACTGATAAAAAGTTTAACATGTATACAGGGTGTCCCGGATAAGGATGCAGTCTGATCTCGGCAACCATAAGAGATATAGGGTTGGTTAAATTTGGAAAGAGTTGCGCATTACTGAGCTCAGTGGCGTCATGTTTTGATATTTCGTAAATTCCGAATTACATATTCCGAAGATATCCATGAAAAACCGAATTTTGCCGAAATGGTTTTTATTTTTTTCTGACTTTATTTGAAATGATATCGCACAATAAACTTCACATTCTCATTGCTACTTTTTCTCCACTACATGATAATGTTATTAGATTTTTGATCAGACGTTTCGTTTCTTCGCGATCATCATCAACTTTGTTTTTTCAAATGGTCGAGTTTTTTTTATTTTATGCCTAATAAACTACTTTTTAATCTAAATCCAACGACATATCAAGCTCACAATTCCAGGAATAATAATTTCCACTAGTGGTACCATTAACGGGCCTCCGCGATCTCCAGACATTACACCTATGGATTCTGAAAAGTCAGTTCTTCTTCTTAAGTATTTCTCAAAAGACAATAATAATAATAATTAGT